TTACCAACTCAGACCATAACTTCCATACCAATGGGCATAAAAGCAACACATGATTTATGGTTTCTACCTCTGCTTTGCAAAATACACATAGGGGGCTGACATTGACAGGTATAACTCCAATCCTTTGCATAAATTCTGCTGTTTTGAGTCTCCCTTTCCAAGCTAACCAGTTGAAGAACTGAGCCTTCGAGGGTGCTGCATTTTTCCACAGGAACTTTGAAATGGGAACCGTGGATCCATTAACTAATTCCAACCTTTTCCACACTGATGCCACAGAGAATACTCCAGAATTACTTACTCTCCACAAACAGTTATCCTCAGTTAGAGGATTTAGATTAGGTACCTCTGCTAGTAATACATTTAGCCTATGAACTTCCTCCTCCTCCCAAGCTAAAAGTGATCTTCTAAATGCCAACTTCCAATCACTGCCCGGCCCTTTCCGGCAGTAAAAAAATTGCAAGGAACCTTCCTTCTCCACTAATAAACTAAACAATCTAGGAAATTCACTCCTAAGACTCATATCATTGAACCATCTATCCGTCCAAAAATGAATCCCTTCCCCATTTCCCAAAATAATCCTGAAGTTTTGTGAGAAAAACTCTGCCACTACACTGTTTGTTGAAGCTAATGATGCAATGTCCTTCCACACTGTAGATACCATTGCAGCTGACACTAGTTCTGCTTTCCACCTGCCCCCAATCCCATCATATCTGCTATATACCACCATTTTCCATAGTGACTGTTGTTAATGACCATACCTCCACCACCATTTTAACATTAAACAGACGTTAACATCACTGAGACTTCTCACACCCAACCCCCCTTGGGCATTACTTTTACACACCTCCTTCCATTGAACTAAGTGAATTTTCCTTTGAACTTCAGAACCGCCCCACAAGAAGTTTGATTGAATCCTATCAATTGTTTTAGCAACACCAACAGGCAATTTGAAGATAGATAGAAAATACACTGGAAGATTTGACAATCTAGACTTAATTAGGGTCACTCTACCGGTAAAGGACAAGAATCTCCTCTTCCAAGATGCTAATTTCTTTTTAAACTTCTCCACCACTGGTTTCCAAGTACTTTTTTTCCTTGGATTGGCCCCTAAAGGTAAGCCAAGATATGACAAAGGTAGACTTTGGCTGAGGCAATTCAAGTTGTTAGCAAACTCCTTAACTAACTCCTCTTCCACTCCAATTCCACAAACAATACTTTTATGAAAATTAATCTTGAGGCCTGACATGACTTCAAAACACCTCAAAATTCTTTTAAGCACCCTGATTTCATCCTAATTGGCTTCACAAAAAATAATTGTGTCATTTGCAAATTGTAAATGGGAGATTTTCAATTCTTGATGACCAACTGAAGCTCCTTTGATCATCCCCTTTTCTTTGGCTCTCTCTAACAGAATATTTGGACCTTCTGCAACTATAGTAAAGAGGAAAGGCGATAGTGGATCTCCTTGCCTTAAACCCCTCTGAGGAGAAAACTCTGCTGTGGGTGACCCATTAACAAGCACTGAGATCCTTGACGTAGAAATGCAAGACCTAATCCAACCCACCCATTTATCTCCAAACCCAAAATTTTCCATCATTGACAACAAAAACTCCCAGTTAACTAAATCATAGGCCTTCTCAAAATCCAATTTAAGAATGATTCCTTTTTCTTGGACTTTCTCCACCAATCCACCATTTCATTTGCAATTAAGACCCCATCAAGGATGCATCTACCAGAAAGAAAAGCAGTTTGAACCTCTCCTATGAGTTTTGGGAGCACTTGTCTTATTCTTTTGGACAACACTTTAGCTAACACTTTATAAATTGAGCTAACCAAGCTTATAGGTCTGAATTCACTCAAGTCTATTGGGTTCTTCTTTTTAGGAATCAAGGTAATGAAAGAGTTGTTTACCCTTTTAGCCAATTTCCCATTACGATGAAACTCTTGGAACAACTGCATGAACTCACCTTTCATTATAGACCAGCACTTTTGAATGCAATACAAATTGAAACCATTAGGTTCAGGGGCTTTATTCCCATCATAATCTTGAATGGCTGCCTAAATTTCTGCTTCACTAAAATCAGCCTCCAGCACTTCCTTTGAATCAACATCAGTAATGGACAAAAAGGACCCTGCCAACTTAGGCCGACTCTCCCAGCTTTCAGCAAAAACCCTTCTAAAATAATTCTCCACAACTTGCTTCACTATGCTTGGGTCTTCCACCACAACACCATTTACCTGAACGGAGTCCAATAAATTTTTCCTCTGCCTGTTACTTGCCATCAAGTGAAATAGTCTAGTATTTTTATCTCCATTTTGTGCCCATGACATTCTAGATTTTTGTAACCACATCCTCTCCTTACTTCTACTTAGCTGCCAAACTTGACTTCTGATCTCACGTCTTCTATGCACCTCTGATTCCAATAAGGACCTAGATTTCGCCTTCAAGTCCCACTTATGAAGTTCATCTTCAGCTTGTTTAAGTAGATCATCAATATTACCAAAGACCTCCATATTCCACCTACACAGATATGCTCTCAGTCTTTTGAGCTTAATCATGATTCTAAAACTAGCCCATCCCTGAATCTGTGCCTCCTCCCAGACCTTTTCCACTTCCTTCTTAAACTGGGGATGGGATGTCCAAGCATTAATAAACCGAAAAGGTTTTGGCCCCCAATCCCTTCCATCCTCCATAAGCAAAACTAGACAGTGATCTGAAATGACTCTAGGCAATCCCCATTGTTTAAATTTATACCTCTCTAGCTAAACAGGATCAAGCAAAAACCTATCAATCCTACTCCACCTCTCCCCATCCAATGCATTACACCATGTGAATAATCTACCATGCATATTCAGATCAATTAATTCCAAGCTCTCTATAAAATTATCAAAGTCTTTCATACCCCTTCCCTTCTTGAGCAACCTTTCCTCTCACTTATAACTCTAATCTCATTAAAATCACCACCCAGACACCAAGGGTTAGGATAAGAGAGTTTAAGATTTATAAGACTCTCCCAAAGTTTCCTTCTCTTCAATGCATCAGTCGGGGCATAAATATTGCAAATAACACAATGAAATGATTGAGATAAGATACCTGAGAGAAGAATGAAGTTCCTGGAACTGCAGCAGTCTATCAATTGAAAAATTCGGGTGTTCCAAATGCAAAGGAGACCACCTGCACTTCCTTCTGAACCCACCTCCATAAAACCCATGTCATCCACAGGCCATAAGGACTTAACAAAATTACCATCAACAGCTTCTCTCTTAGTCTCCTGCAGCATCAAAACATTTACTAATTTTGCTCTCACCAATGCCTTAATTCTACTCCTTTTTTCAGGTCGTCTAAGACCCCTAACATTCCATGACATGATCTTCATAAAAAACCTTCAACGCAGCATCTATCCTCCTTCATTTTTTCAGCAGCTTAATCAGCCTCTGCCCTTCCTTCAACTCTTTCCAAATCTTTCTCCTCCAGCTTCATTATTTTGGCCAACACTTCCTCTTCCTTCCCTTCATAGTTTAGCCCTAATGCCTTCCCGACCTCAATCGTAGCTTGGGCTTCTTTAAGTATCTTTCTTCTCCTTTGGGAACTGCTGCTTTGTGACGATTGTAGGGACATAGCAATTGCTGCCACTCAAAGGATCACTCCACTTCTGAGACAGTTGCTGAATAGGATCCCTTTCTGTTTTGGTTGGCCACCTTACTTCATTCTTTCTTCAGGTCAGACTTCCATTTTGATCTAGCATGAGCTTGCTGAAATGGGCCCCCCTTCTCGTGATTAACTTTCTGGGCTACAGCTTCCCTCCAGCCATAAACTGTGACTGGGCTATGCAGTCACTTAAATTAGAATTAACTTCCCATCTTGGCCCATTAGTTATAGGCTGAACTTGGGCTCCATGTAGTACAACTTCTAAATTTATGTTGGGCCTGCCACACTCCAACCCAGTTGAACTATACATAATACCTTTATTACATTCCAGATCTTCCACCCGTTGCTTTATCCCATTCTCCACAGACCTTGAGCAGACCGCCTACACCACCCTTTCTTTCCCTGGAACACGCTCAGTTACTTTATTAGCTGCTCCAGACATACAATGATAGCCTCCATCCACAGCTACTAAAACTCTTTCGGTTGTGTGTGTTCCATTAATTGACACATCATCGGTTTGTGCCACATCATCATTATCGTCCTCCTCTGTAACTGAACCGACTTCACCTTCATCCCCACCTTCAACACCATTGACAGCTACCTTTGGATGAACATGATCAACTTGACGCCTGCGTTTGGATAAGTGTTCACTCTCATTGTGCATATTGGATTCCATTACTTTATTTTTATGGCAGCTATAGTCACCATTGCATTGACAGATACTGACTAAGGGCTCTTCAAACACTCGCACTTGATAATCCCTCGCATTTCCTACTAGATTAATTACCATATTGATGGGCTCCACCCTTTTTGTAATAATCCTAACTTTGCCGAACATAAAGTGTTTGCCTCCCACTGTATCTTCATCATACTGAATCACTTCTCCCCATACCTTGCCAATGGCTTCAAAAGTTTTGAAACTCCAGAGATTGAGAGGAACTCCCACACAAGTGAGCCATATACATCTATCACATTCCAAAAACTTCTCTTCTTCCCATTCAAATACTTCATCACTCCAGTCATGAATCCACTCCTCCATTTTCGCTCTTTCTTTCTTCATCTAATGGTTGGAGCTGAATGATAAAATTGCTAACTTTCCTCCTGCTTGTCTAACAACTACTTCCTTAACAGTCCTCTTATAGATCTCCTTTCGAAAGTCATGGAAGAAAAAAAATGCTTTGAGCTTGACCAGAACACTATCATATGATCATTAATTCCCAGCCTCAACAGCTCTAACTAAGACATTTTGTTTTCCATATACTCCACCATTTTTACCTCTAGTTTGAACTACTTCCGCATATGAATTACCTTTGATTCCAATCATAGGTTGGATGGGGGTCCACTGTTTCTTCTACACCATACCTCCCTGCTTAGCATTTGTTAGCATCTGTCTACTTTGATTGCACTTGCTGTGCTCAGCCATCTTTACTCTCAAGGCCCTGTTATGACACCATAAGCCATCAGTTTTTCTCACTACCACCTCTGCGGCCACCTTGCAATCGTACCTAACAAATCCAAATCTTGATCTTGTCGTTTTCCTTATTTTCAATGGTATGAAGACATCCTTCACAACTCCAAACTTGCTGAACAGATTAAATAGATCTGAAGGGGTCATAGCCTCTGGTACTTCATCCACGAAAAGAGAGACCAAATCATTCATCCTTGATCGACCAGTTTGCAGACCCATCCTCCGTTTTTTAAGAACCGGCTTCCACCCTCCATCATTCATCTTTCCTAAAAATTAATTTGGATTATCAACTTTTTAACCAGGACCTCTCTGCGGTATTCGTTAACCCTCAAGTCTAGTGCTTGAATCTAGTTTTTCCTTTTCCTCATATTATGTTAATACAAATAAATGTAAAGAGATATTATGAAGTGTATTTAGATTCTTCATATTTATGATATGTTATTTGAGTTCAAATTTTGTCAAAAGTCATGTAAAAAGATAAGCTTTGTGCTCATATCCATTAATTTAACTGGTCATGATTGATTAAAATCAAGTTTATAACAATGATATCGAACTGTCAAAGCAGTTAAGAGGACAATAATTTGGGTGAGAGAGAGTGATGGGTACAAAGTCTTTACGAAAGAAACTTCCTGGAAAGAAAGTTTGTTACAAAAATAGGGGCTCATTTTCCAGCTAAAAATTGGCTAAGAGGGCAATGATTTAGCTAAATGTTTGAATTAAAACTTTTCAAATGACAATAATTAAGATGAGGAAGGAGTGGTTGGTGTCAAGTTTTCATAACAACTTTAGCAATAGGAGACATTTTTCAAAAGTACATAAATAAATATACTTTTTATTTTACCTAATTGCTTAGTTAGTATATATATATATATATTTAACAAAACGTTTGACAATTAGTCAGCCACGTATGTACTTAGTGGGAAAAATCGTTTGCCTAGTCCCTCTTGTCTCTTCAATTGTGTTGTTGCCAAGCCTATTGGAACATTAAAATTATGATTTGGCTATAGGTAAAATGCCTAATAGGTACAACATAGAAAGCCGGTTGGAGTTACTATTATGAAAGAGATTTATAACTCGTTTTGCTTTCAACTAAAAAGGTCACATTTTTTTTCTCGGAATTTTCTTGTCTTTAGTAATCTTCAATTCAATTTCTTGTAAAATTCCTTTATGTTTTATGTTTGTCTAGTGTAGAAGAATCTAAAAAGTATAACAAAAACAAAAAAAAAACTTGTTTGGTTTACACTGTTTTTTCTGAAAATATAATTTTTTGTTTTTTCATATTTTTTTCATTTTTAGTAAGTTTTAAAAATATTTTACGAATTTTTTTTTTTATTTAAATACAGCTAATCTAGATATAGTTTAAAATTATAACATTTATGAAAAACTTTAAATAATTTACCAAAAACAAAAATAATAAATAATAAAAATTTAAAATATTTTTTTATTTTGTTGTATTTAATAATTTTTTCAAAAAAATTTTGTACAAATTTTATACATTTTAATTATATCAAGATTAAGTGGATCTAAAAATTAAAAAATGAAATAAAATATTTTTAAAAATTACTAAAAATACAAAAATAAGAATTAAAAATTTAGAAAACTAATTTTTGTTTTTAGTAAAAAAATTTTAACTTTTCTTGCTCCTCTAAACGGGGAAATTATGTCTAATTGAAAATATAGTGTTGTATTTTAACCTAGGAATCATTTATGAGCATATATGGCATAATATTATGAAATTCATGTTTAGAATTATGTTTTTCTTGCATGATTGTCATATTTGAGGAGGAAACTCCATGGATTTGAGAAATGAAACTTTTATGTGCATGTATTATGATTTTCCATCTCAATTCAAGTGGTTTTCAAGTGTTTTGGGCCTTGATTTTCATGAATTTTGAGATTGATTTTGCGAAGGAGGAGGTTCCCTTTTAAAGCAGATTTTCGGGCTGGTGTTCACCCAGACCGCTCGAGCAGCCTAGGCCACCGCTCGAGCGGCCAAACTTGTTTTGGGCCAAAATACATTCTGCAGTTCCACCGCTCGTGCGGCCTAGGCCACCGCACTAGCGGACATGTACCGCACATGCGGCCAAACAGTGCAATTTTCTAATTTTATTCTCTTTCCATTTTCGGACTTCAGGGCCGTCATTTACTTGATTTTCACATGTTATATGCATCCATTAACATCTCATGAGCATGAAATAAAGTTAAGAAGCAACTAAGTGACTTGATGACAATATGTGTTAAGAAATTGTGCTATGAATGTTTATAATTGTAGGTCAAGACTCGAGACCGCACAACCGGTTTTGGAAACCCACTGTGAGTAACATTTCTGTAAAGTTATGTTGATAGAAATTATGTTTTAACTGTTATTGATACGCTATGTTTTCTCAAAGTGCTATCTTGATTCTGTGAACGAATATCCTATTTACGAAACTATTATGGCATCCACGGATAGTGCCAAATCATGGGGGACGGCACATTTATGCGGGTCCATGACATATATGTAACACGAGATCTCGTTAGCCACTTCATTGTGGTGATATGTGTTAATCGGTAATCGGAACCGATTCTCTAGTCAGAAGATGATATGCGTTGTGTCCCGTGAGATGTACCATTATGTTATGTTCTGATATGAATGGTTGTGATATGATTTATTTTACGAATATGTTATATGTGGAATTCGTTCACTCCCCCTTTACTTTAATGTTATTCATTGGGTTTTAGCTCACTGTTCTTATATTTGTATTTATAGGTGAGCGTTTTGGGAGTCAAGCCTAGGTGGAGTCTTGAACCGAGCCGCCGTTTTGAAGCTTACCAGGTGTTTTGGGTGCCTTCGAGCTGGGGCTAGGCCTGGAAAGCCGTCAGCAAGCTTTGTTTTTGTTGTACACTCGTGGCACATGCCTATGTTTTGTATATGATATTTTGTTATATGTTATGTAATGTAAGTGGGTAAATTAACATTTTTGGCATGTAAATATTTGTTCATATAGATGCACAGCTCTTTGGACTCTTGGTATTTTGTCTTTGCTTCCGCTAGCCCCGATTATTTACGTTTTATACAGGAAAGCCTTTGGTAATCTTGGATTATTGGCCGGTTACGATGCCAAACTTTTAGGGACGGTTTTGGGTCGTGACATAGAGCCTCTTTACGGAGAAACCAGGCAATATTAAGAGTTGTAAGATAGAACAACATTTTCTGCTGCTATCTCCTAAACTTGGTACTATTAAATTTTTTCAATTTTTCTCCATGATTTATTAGAACTTGAACATGGTTCTGGATATGGACCAGAATCGTTGTAACAATTGGATTGGGAGTACTATTTTCAATAGCCATAATATCTAATTATAAATAATCAGAAAAAACCCAAAACCAAAATACAAATTAATTTTCTAGTTACTCAAACCAGAAATAAGTTATAACACAAAATAATTTTACTTTTCTAGTTACTAAAACCAGAAAAATAAAATGTTCCACAATAATTTTCTTTAACACTACTACACAAATTAATATTCTGAAATTGTTAATGACAAACAGTATATTACTATTATTTGTCAAAGAAAATAAACGGTATATTACTACTATTTATTAAACAACATATGATTACTATTTATATTTTTCAACAAGAATATCACTTTGTAAAATCACAGAAAATAAATACAATGAAGACAAAAACGGGTCTGTCTTAAGATTGTTGGACAATCTTTACTGTATTCGAAGAATAGATTAAAGAGAGAGAGACTGTTTGATTACAAAAATCAAAACAATATATATAAAATAAAACAAAACAATAGATTCTTGTTTTGTTACAAAAACAAAATCAGAATCTGAAAAAAATAAATAAAAATAAAACAGAAAGTAAATTAATTATTTATTAATTTTTTGAACAAATTTTTGATCAAGTCCAGTATTTAACACTATGTCTTAAGGCAGATTCGTCCTCTCTACGGTACTTTCAGATTGTGGACGTCTATATCTCAAGATAAAATGATCAACAATGAATAGTAGCAGCACTACAAACTATTCGCACAACGAACACACTTTGTGTTTACACTCTTTTTACAAGGAAAATAATGCAGCAAAATACAGAGAGAGCAAGCAGAATTTGGGATGAAAAATTGGTGTCAAAAAAACCAAATGAGGGCCTACCTATTTATAGATGCAGTGGTACCTTTTCAGTGTGAATTAAACAGGTAGCGTACCTGTTTGAACACCTGTTCGGTTTGAATGAATAGATACAAATCTGTTGGGTTTAAATTTCAAACAGATAAAAAAAATGTATTGAACAGATTCGAATCTATACAGAAAAAATGAAAAAATGAAAAACAAATTTGAATTTTTCCCACCAAAATTTGAAATTAAAACTTTGGACAGATTTTATATTACCAAAAAATAAATTTAAATTCAAATGTTTTTTGCCCAAAAAGATAAGTATTGGGCCGGATAAGCCCAACCCAACCTCACACCACGCACTCACGCCCAGGCCTAGCCTAGCCCAACCCAGCCCGACCGGACGGATAGCAGAGGTAGCGCGCACGTGTGTGTTTATGTTTAGGTCCAATGGGTCTAACCCAATTTGCCCATAACCTCTCCCTTTTACAAACTTGGGGTGTCCCTTGGGGCCCTCCCCAAGTTACAAACCCATGCCTTATAAACCCACAAAAATTTTCCCACCAAACCAATGTGGGACAAGCCTTTATTCAAACCTTTAAAAATTTTTTACCAAAACCTCATTTCCATGGAGCTCACTTTAGCTTCAATTTCCCATTCACCCGATAATGGTTTTGATCAACCAAATATACTACGTGAACCACAACACAATATAGAATGCATTACTACTTTGTCCCACCACCTTTGGCGCATAGATCCCACCTAAAAAATAGACTAAAGTTTAGGAAAAATTCTGTTTTCCCAGAACCATTTCTAACAATCCCCCACGTGAATGGAATTTGATGATAACGGAAATGCAACAATATCCATAATTTGCCGAAAGAGTATAAATAAAAAATATCTTGCATCAGGATAGGTAGCTTTCGTCCTGGAACCTTCCCTAGTGATAACCTATTGGACTTACTAGCTAACTAATAGACGTGATGCCTTGAATTGTTCAACCGTTTGTGTAAACTAATACAATAGATTTCACACAAAATATCTTTTAACACATCGTGGTTCTCACGGTTGTGTTCATTTTGGCCTTGAACGCTCCTAGTTGATCATGAGTGTTTCTAGAGAATTTAACCTCTTCATTCTCTTAGAACCGGTTCCA